AGAAAAGTGGGGGGGGGGGGGGGGCAGAACGGGGTGTGGCAATGAGTGGAACAAAAAAATTGTTGGGAAAGGGGTTAATCAATAAAGAAAAAAAAATTTAAGTAATAAATAAAAAACCATCTATAATGCTTTGAACAATAAAGATAAATTAAAAAAAGAAATAAAAAACTTTATGTTCAACGGTGTCTCTTAGCTGAAGCCACTTGTCAGGCCAAGTCATCATGCAGCAGCTCTAGCCTCTTTAGGATTTTGATCATGTCCCCTGGCTACCTCTATATTGTTGGACTGAAAGAGTCTTTTTTTTTTTTTGAGCCTGACACTGATGGCTTTAATTGCCCTTCTTTGTTCACCTTAGGCTCTGTTCTGTCCTTGACGTGTGCAGATCAGAGCTGCTTGTGTAGCTTCACCCATGAAGATATCCTGTGGTTCTGTGTAAAAGGAGGATTATTGTGTTTTTCTCTTAATCCATTTGACAGTGCCCAACATTTTGTTACCCTTTCTTTATGCCATTACAGGAAACTAGGTTGTTCTCCTCAGTGCTCTGCACACAGAGTTTCCTGTAGTTCTTTCCTGAAAGGTTAGCACTCATCATTCTGCAAGAGTAGTGTATAATATTGGTCCTCCCTAAATGGACTACCTTATGTATGCCCCTAATGAAGCCCATCTGCCAATCATAAAGCCTCCTGAGACCTTCCTTAAGCGCCCATCAACTTGGTACTTCACTGCCTGGAAATGCTGTGTGTCATCTACAGACTTGAGGATTTCCCAATGGCCACCCTCAAGGAAGTCTACTATTTGCCTTTCTTTAGTCACAAAAATGTCTATTTCTCCCCTATATTTTCTTTTCCTCTCTTTCTCTTAACTAGTTCCTACTATATGATAAAGAAAAAATATTTTAAATTCTATGATAATTCATATTTAAAAATAGCCTTGGCCCCAAAACTAATTAGAAGCATTTTAAAAGTGAGTTTAGTCCCGAAAAAAGATGCATGGAAGATCATACATGATTTCTCTTTAGAGAAACCCTGTTACCACTCCAGCCCTAATGTACAGGAGGCCAGCATTTATTAAAGATTCTTCCAGCTTGCCTACTAAAGTACTAGACACTCATCAGTGTATAGTTCCCAGGCCCCTTTTGCACAATGATCATCCAGGATAACAGGTTCCAGGTTTTCATTAGATGTACAATAATTTTTCCCTTTGATTTCTTTCGGGAGTCAAGTCTGGTCAGGGTGTTATATGAAGGCACCGCTCTATTCAAGGGTGGCAGGGAGCCTTTCTGACCCAACATCTTTACCATCTGTTAGACTAATAATCTGAAGTTTCTTTAACAGAAACATACTTTTATTCTACAATTAGAAATTGTCCTTAAAATGCAATTTTGTTACAACCAACCTATCCTCCTTAACTGCACTCTGCCATTAAGTGTATGGTTCTCACAGCACTTTTTTTAAACAGCAGATTTTGAAAGCTTTAGGGCATGAGCACCGTGAGCATTTAGAGG